ACTCTTGTTTCAGTCACAGCAAGAAACAAAAACCCAAACAAACAGAAAACCCCTCTGAAAGAGAAGAAAACAAAAGGTTTGACCCAAAAAGGGGAGAAGGGAGGGGGTTTGGTTTTGCTTTTTAAATAGGACTGAAGATTAACATTGAAAAATCAGGAGATGATGTCCAACCCTTTTCACAAGGCAAAGCCCTCCGGTATTTCCACCTCTGTGTTTTTTGTTTTAAATTCCTTTTTCTCTTCTGGGTGCTGATACTTCTCTTCATCCTCATGTTCTTGGTGTTTTATTGTGTTTTGTGTTTTTTTGTTTGTTTGTTTGTTTAACTTTGTATCACTACCTCAGTTTGCCCCATGTCCCTTACACACAAGCAAAATATTCCTTCAGTGGAGCGAAGAGGTGGCGGATGACTGGCACGCTCCAGGACCGGCCCAGCAGTCTCTGCCTTGCCAAACGGCTCATGTTGGAGACATCAGTATAGTGGACAGGGAAGCCAAACACCCTTTCCATTTCAGTGCACCATAAGATATCCTCTTTCTCATTCATGAAGACAGGAAAATGCTGGTCTTTGCCCTGCTTTATGGAGTTTGACCTAGTAGTAATGGTCCTCACTTTGCTGAACTTGGCTATTCTGCCATGTTCCAGACACTCCTGCAGTTCCAGCTTATCATTCACAGTGGATGCCAATGGCCTGTTCATACCAGGAAGGTTACCCCAGAAGTAGCGGGCCCTGTGTGCAGCTGACACTTCTCTGGCATCAATCATCACAGGATTGGACTCGAGAAATTGTGAGATGTCCCTCTTGTCACTAACGCCCATGGCCACCACATTCTCAAAGAGCCAGAAGAAGGGGCGGTCATCTCCCTCCTTGGGCTGCGCATCATGCAGGAGGCGGTAGAACTCAAAGAAGAGCCGGCCAGCACCCTCGTAGAGTCCCTTGTGAGCAGGGTTGACAATGGAGAGGTCATTGCAGGGACTGCCCCCAATCACCAGATCGAATGGGCCCCACTCCTGGATATGCTTCTGCGTGATGCTGCGGACGTCCCCGACGTACATGATCTTCCCCTGATGCCGCGCCATGCCCACTGTAATGGAGTCCTCACACACCTCTGAGGCAATGTAGCGGTCCACCTGGATGCCCAGGTCCTTCAGCACCAGGAGCCCAGTAGCGATTCCATCAAAGAGAGACAGCACCCTGATGGGCTTCCTTTTTTCAGCTGGGACAGGTGGATAAACTTTCAGAGGGTCAAATTTCTGGTCATGATTATTGGCAAAGAACATCTGGAGCCGAGAAGGCCAATCTTCCCGCCGTCGCAGCAGTCCATAGGTGCCCTTGTGCCCGCACATGTAGCAATTCCAGGGGTCTTCCTTGATAGCTGCCTGGGCAGCCCCTGGCCCCACCAAGAGATCCATGCACTCCACACAAAAGCACCTGCAGCAGTTGTTGTTCCCGCACATGAGCACCTCCGTCCCCCACAGCAGATGGTACAGTAGGACTGGTAGCCATCGTCGTCATACTGATACGCACACTCCAGAAAGCAGTTCTTGCAGTTCTGGCACATTCCTCCATTGAAGAGCGGGTGCTCCAGGGTAACATTGAGACTCCCACATGAGATGCAAATATCCTCGATGTTCCGGCACTTCTGCCGCACCTCATGCACCAGCTGCTCTCTTGTGCGTTCATCAATAATCTCCTTAACCTTGGGCTTCTCTGTTGTGCTCTTTCGTGGCTTTTTGGCTGGAGGAGGTGGTGCGTATGCAGCTGCCTCAGGCTCAACCCACATATCTGTGTAAACTTCCTTGTAGGGATTCTTCTCCTCTTCTGGTGGCTCCAGGCCCTTGGGGCCAGAGGGCTGGAACCCTCCAAGGGCCCATTCAATCATCTGCTTGTTCTGCACTTCCACAGCCTTAGCAGTGTCACTCTCATCACTGTCATGGCAGGCCGGGAACAGCTTCCCTGCACGGCTGCTGGCCACCTGAAGCACTTCGTAGATCGCCTTGCGGTACATGGGCTGCTTGTTGTAGGTAGCCTGGTGGAATGCACTGCAGAAGGAGCTCAGAGGTATCAGCTTCTCAACACATACCACAGAGAACTTGCCGTCTCCAAACCACATGACCCAGCGGGTGCCTTCAGCTGCTCGGCTCCGGCCCGTCATCCACCAAGACACAATGCGGCCTGGCCACCAGGAGAAGCCCCGCAGTTTCCCCCACACCAGCTCCCCAATGCCAAAGCCCTGGCCGTCCTCATATTCTGGCTAGTCATCAGCTGCTTTGGTGGCATTCTTGTCCCCAGCATCAGCCCCCACAGGCTCAGGGGTGGTGGCCACAGTGGGGGATGCAGGGTCAGTGGGCTGCTGCACAGCAGGAGGGCTGGCCTCCTCCACCTTCTGTGAGTCCCCAGAACCCTGGTTTTCTTCCACAGCATTCATTACGGCAATTACCTTGGCTTTCTTCTCAGCCCATAAGGCCAGGTGCAGCCCCTCTGCGGTCCGGCTCAGGTCCACATTTATTCTTAATTGCCTATATTTTTAATTTTCTTGACAAATGCATAGAGGCATTTATATACCTTCACGATCAAAGTATAGAACCATTCTATCACTCTAAAACCTTCTCTTTTCTGATCTTTTTGCCATAGAATCTTGGAAGTCACAAATTTGTTCTCAGTGCATACAGTTTGCCTTTTCATAATCTCAGATAAATGGACCCATACAGTATGTGGTATGTGTCCTGCACAATATTTTATAGTCTTCATGTGGTTGACTCTTTCACATAAAAGTGCATTTCAGATTTGTCATTATTGTTGCATTCCAACTTCATGCCTTGTACTGCCTGTAGCAATCTATTACATGAATACGACAGTTTATTACTTCACTCCTGATTGGAGGCCATTTAGATTATTCAGAATTATTAGTGGTTAGGAGTAAAGGTGCTGTAAATACCACATGCAGCTTTGTATGTGAATGGGAATTTTCTCATTTGGGGAGGGGCCTAGAGTGGGCTTTCTGCATTACGGCCAGTGTGGTTATGCGCTCTATAAAGTGCTATCAGATTTCCAAAGTGGCACATAAATTTGCCTTCACACCATCAATGCATGAGACTCTGAGTTGTTCAACATTTCCACAAGCGTTGCTTGTCTTCAATCTTTTGTTTGGATTTTAGTTATTCTACTTAGTGTGAAGTGACACCTTAATGTGATTTTAGGTTTTACTTACCTCTTAGCTAAAAATGTAAAATTTAATGTGCTTACTTGCCATCTGGTAATTAATAATTTATATCTTTTGTCCATGTAATTGGTTGGAATTTTTACCTTTTAAGAGATTCAAGAAAGGTCTTTATATTTGCTCTACAAGCCCCTTAAAATATGTGGCTTACATGTATTATCTGCCACTCTGTGATTTGTTATTTTTTCCTCCTAAAAGTGTCTTTTAAGAGAGTAAAACACTTATTATTTTTAATTTTTTTTAAAGAACAGAACATATTTAGTGGGGGAAAGAAAGCTGTCCAAAAGAGGTATGTGTCCTTTCTCTAAAATGATTTCCTTGTCTTGGGTGTTAACAAGCGCTCATTTTCTTCCTTTTTTTTCTTATTTTTGTATTTTAAGGAAGGGTCTACCAGGTGTTCAGTTCAGATGGGACTCTGTAGTGATCCGCCTATGTACAGCCTCCCAAGAGCTGGGATTACCGGCGTGCGTCACCATGCCCAGTCTCAACTGCCATCTCAGAGTGCCCTGGGGGCAGTGTCAGCACAGCAGCCCTGGGGATCAAACTCTTGGCCCCTGCATCTGCCTAAGCAGGCACTTTATTCCACTGAACTATTTGGCCGGCCCCAAACACTCATTTTCTATGGGCGTCACTTAGTTGGAACAATGCAGACTTTTTCCTAATTTTACATGCCTCTAAAAAGGAAAGTACAGATAGGTAGGGAAAGATTGGGAATGAGGCCAGCGAAAGGAAACTGAGGCAGAACAGGCTTGATACTCCTGTAGAGTGTAGAGGATCAGAGCCAGTCTGCCCCAGCGAGACCTGTCCTTGAAGTCTTAAGAGTGGCTACCAATCTAAAGTTATTTTTAGATGGTGCATGGAGTCCTGTGCTTTATTATATGGGCATGTATATTTTGTAAGTCTGAGATAGATTTAAAAAGACCTATTTTAAAGGGCCAGCCTGATAGCTTAGCGGACGAAGGCGCCTGCTTAAGCAGAGCGCGGTGGCTAGGGTTCGATTACTGGCGAGCGATGCCGGCCCCCACCCCCGGGGGCGCGCTGAGACTGTACTGAGATGGTGTGGTGGCGCAAGGCTGTAATCCCAGCACTTGGGAGGCTGAAAACAGGAGAATCACTAGAGTCTGATCTACATAGTGAAACCCTGTAGACCCTGTCCTAAGTACAGAAAAAGGAAGAAAGAAAGGAGAGAGAAAGAAAGACCTATTTTGCAAAAGTTTATACTAAAGTGCACGGGGGGGGGCAGCCAAATAGCTTAGCGGTCTAAAGTACCTGCTTAGGCAGACGCTGGGACTGGGAGTTGGATCCCCAAGCCTGCAGTGCCGGCACCGACCCCGGCGTGTGCTGAGACTGCGATTGAGACTGGGCGTGGTGGCGCGCGCCTGTAATCTCTGCACTTTGGAGGCTATAAACAGAAGAATCACTACCAATCTGATCTACACAGTGAGACCCTGTAGACCCTGTTGTAAAATACAAAAATAAATAAAGTCCACTAGGGGGCGATGTAACATTACTCTCCCTAACGCTGTTGTCTAAAGTCAAGGAATCTTAGTAAATACAGCAGCTAGTTAAAATGCAATATATACAAGAACAAAAGAGTAATACAATGTGCTATTGAAGTCAGGCTGGGGAGATAGCTCAGCAGCATCAGCACTTGCCTGGCTAGTGCAAGACCCTGATTTGATCTCTGGTACAAAAAAAAAAAAAAAAAAAAAAAAAAAAATATATATATATATATATATATATATATATCTCCTTGTAATAGTCCCATGTTTTAACTTAGACTTACCACATTTTAATAGAACTATATAAGAATCAGAGCATAAGCAATTATAAACAATGAGCAAAGACATCAAAATTTGAAGCATAAAAATTTGTTGCCTAAAGGCGTCCCACCCAATCCAGAGTCTATAAAGCTAAAGCAAACTTACCTTAGTCTGGTGATCTCAGTGGAAGACCTCCAAACAGTATAGAAGAAAGAAACTCCAATCTGAATGAGTTGGGATGAGTTGGTGTCCTCTAAAAAAAAATCAATTTTAGGAACAATGGAAGTTAAGAGCAGAACATATTTATTGGGGGAAAGAAAGCTTCTGTTGGAGAGAGGGCCAGAAGAGGGCCAGAGTGAGTTGGCAAGAAATCTATCTTTTCTTGTGGTTTTTATACATTAAACCCACAAGGTGAGGTAGGTTTATGGTGGGAAGTGTGGGCACTCTCAAGGTGCCCACACAAGGAGCGTGAGGTGGGACAAAACTATGATCAATCAGTAAGATTGCAAGCATAATTACTCAGATAATGTTGATTAAATTGAAATTAAATTGGGAAGCAAGTCACACAACAAGGGGACATGAATACAGAACAGGAGCTTTTCCTGTAGTTGGTTGGGTTAGTGACTCTTCCTGACTTTTTCAAGGTGACTGATACCTACTTAGAATATCATTCTCTCATGTCCATCCCTAGGGAGGTAGGTGGCTGCATTTGTTTGATCTCTTGTGGTCTGGCCCACAGCAGGAGTGCTTGTCTTCCTTACTGGCTCCTTGAGGGCCTGGCCCTGTCGGACTGCCTATAATATTTCTATCTAATTCAGCTGCCTACAATAATTCCCCCTGTGAAGAAGTAACCCTAACTGTCATGAGGGAATAATGGGAGATGACTGCTCTGGCTTCTTCAGGCTGAAAGGAATCTTAGTAGTTCACAGGCAGTTAGAGATACTCACCAGATGTTCTGTCTAAAGACTCTTGATAGACACCAGGCATGTTTATCTTGGTAGGCACACAGCTTTAAGTCTGAAGGAGACAAAGCCAGAGAAACAAGCATGCATGGGCCAAATAATATCAACAAGGTAGTTATGAATAGAGTGAATAATGATTTCCACCAAGAGGAGACAGTAATGACTTTTTATAAAGAGGATAAGGGTAAAGTTTGGGGGAATTCTGAGGCTGACATATTATTTATCTGTTATTTAATATCTTGAGCAGCTATTGGTACATTAGCAGAA